CTTATTTGGGGAACCTTTCCTGATATGAACGGGAAGCGCGTGAAAGGGAAGAGTTACGCAAGAACTTGCAGCATCATCGCGATCAAATGTAGTACAGGCGAGCTCTCCGAACGCTCACAAGGGGTATGTATGGACACGCACCCCCCGAACGTTCACAAGCATATTCCTGAGCATCCTCACCGCTCCTCCGCATGAGGAAGACGACGGCGAAGACGACGACCGGGGAAGAAGGGATAGGAGGAGGAGGAGGAGGAGGAGGAGGAGGAGGAGGGGAGGAGGAGGAGGAGGAGGAGGAGGAGGAGGAGGAAGAGGAGGAGAAGGAACGGCATCAGCAGCAGCAGCAGCAGAAGAGGTGAGGAGGCGGAGGGGGAGGAGGACGAGAAAGAGGAGGAACAGGAGCAGGAGGAGGAGGAAAAGGAGGAAGAACAGGAGGAGGAGGAGGAGTTGGAGGAGAAAGAAGAGGAGGAAGAGGAGAAGACCGACGATGAGGAGGAGGAGGAGGAGGAGGAGGAGGAAGAAGGCGAGGAGGAGGAGGAGGAGGAAGATGAGGAAGAGGACGAGGAGGAGGAGGAGGAAGAAGAACAGAAGGAGGAGGAGGAGGAGGAGGAGGAGAAGGAGAAGGAAAAGGAGGAGAACGAGGAGCAAGAGGATGAGGAGGAGGAGGAGGAAGAAGAAACTGTGGGAGGATGTCTCGAGCGAAACGCTGATCTTTCAACGCAAGTGTTTAAAACACATGGGTTTCTCAATATTTTCGCTCCTTGGGGCATCTTGGGGGTCATCCGAAATCGCTCCTAAAAGATGCCTCACAAGAGCTCTGTCGGCATCCCATTGTTTCGAGGATGTCTCTGGCGAAGCGTCCATTTTCGAGGATCCGAAAATTAGGCGAGCGATTTCGAAATCTCCATTTTTGGAGGATGTCCCAGAATTTGCAGTATCATCGAGATCAAATGTAGTACAGGCGAGCTCTCCGAACGCTCACAAAGGATACGTATGGACACGCGCCCCCCGAACGTTCACAACCATATTCCTGAGTATCCTCACCAATCCTCCGCATGAGGAAGACGACGGCGAAGACGACCGGGGAAAAAGGGATAGGAGGAGGAGGAGGAGGAGGAGGAGGAGGGGAGGAGGAGGAGGAATAGGAGGAGAAGGAACAGCATCAGCAGCAGCAGAAGAAGAGGTGAGGAGGAAGAGGGGGAGGAGGACGAGGAAGAGGAGGAACAGGAGCAGGAGGAGGAGGGAAAGGGGGAAGAACAGGAGGAGGATGAGGAGAAAGAGGAGGAGGAGGAAGAGGAGAAGACCGACGAGAATGAGGAGGAGGAGGAGGCAGAGGAGGAGGAGGAGAAAGGATAAGGAGGAAGAAGGCGAGGAGGAGGAGGAGAAGGAAGATGAGAGGACGAGGAGGAGGAGGAGGAGGAGGAGGAGGAGGAAGAAGAAGAAGAAGAAGAAAAGGAGGAGGAGGAGGAGGAAGGAAAAGGAGAAGAGGAGGAGGAAGAGGAGGAGGAGGAGGAAGAGGACGTTTTGGGAGGAGGTCTCGAGCGAAACGCTGATCTTTCAACGAAAATGTTAAAACAAACATTGTTTGTTTCAATAGTTTCGTTTCTTGGGCCATCTTGGGGGTCATCCGAGATCGTTCCGAAAAGATGCCTTACAAGAGCTCTGTCGGCATCTCATTGTTTCCAGGATGTCTCTGGCGAAACGCCCATTCTCGAGGAACCGAAAATGAGGCGAACGATTTCGAGATCTCGATTTTTCGAAGATGCCCCGAGCGACGCGCTCATTTTTAGCAAAACACGTTTTCAGATACGACCCCCAATTTCACAATGTTGTGAAGATATCTCGAACGAAATCGCTCATTTGGGGAATCCGCCACGTCCCGCATCACGAGTGCGCCCCGCGCGTTCCCTCCCCCCAGACGTCCATCGCGCGACCCTTCGAGTCTTAGCGCGCTTCCCGTCATCCGCCAGGTCCTCGATCACGAGTGCCTCCCGCGCGTTCCCCCCCCCCAGACCCCCCCAGTTGATGCTGCCTCTGGCCCGGAGAACGGTTCCCCGATGTCTGGGGGATGTCTCGAGCGAAACGCTCATGTTGGGAATCCGCCAAGTCCTCGACCACGAGTGCCTCCCGCGCGATCCCCCCCCATACCCCCCCCCCAGCTGATGCTGCCTCTGGCCGAGAGAACGTCCATCGCGCGACCCTTCGAATCTTCGCGCGTTTCCCGTCATCCGCCAGGTCCCCGACCACGGGCGTGCAACGCGCGCTCCCCCCCTAGATCCCCCCTGCTGATAAAATCCACCTGGGCAAGGGCAACAAAACGTCCATCGCGCAACTCTTCGAGTCTTCGCGCGCGTTCTTGAAGACGCAACCCCAACGCTGAGGTCTCGCGGGCATTCACAGAACCAACCGCAAGGTCGGCCCGCGCGCGCGCGTCCACGCACGCAACGTACGAAGCTTACCACCCACCGGTGGGAAGCCCGCACATCAGCACGCGACCCTCTGGCCTCGGGCTGGCGGCGAGCAGTGATTCTCAAGCGGCGCAACACATCATGTGCAGGATAAACATAGTGGGGCATAGCGGGGGCCGCCCTTACCAGCAATGCGAAGTCGGCAACGCTCCAGGCTATACAAAGGCAGGGCTGCGGCCCGGGCCAAACTCAAAGTCAACGACGCAGCGGGCCGAGAAGGAAGGGGGCGGACGAAGAGGCGCAAGATGGCACAAACGTTGGACAACAAAAACACAAAACTAAGCCAGGCGCCTGCAGCAGGCTTTACTGAAGAAGTGAGCACTGGCGCATGCAACCTGGTGGGCTCACCTGAAGCAAACCCAACATCCCGGTCTACTGCTTCACTTCCTTGAGCTCACCGCGTGGTGCGAAGAGCATGGTCGTCGTCGATCACAAGTCCCGCAAGCTCCTGCCACTTCAACGCCCCACAGGGTTGTCAGCACGCGGTGATTGAGGGCGTGAAAGTCGATGTGTGGTTTGCGTTGCATACGTATGCCCACCAGTTGTCCCAGCTGCCGTCTCCTGGGCGCAGAGGATGGTGTCGTAGTTGTCGAATTGGCCCTGCCGGTGCCCCGCCTGCTGGACCTGCCCCTTGCAGTAGCTGGCGGACTATCGGTGCACTTGGACGTCTCATTCCCTCGAACCAACTGAGCCTCTTCTACAGGCGGTGGTCGTTGATCGCGCGGTAGGTAGTGTCGAGACCCAGGACACTGTGCACCATCAACTTCTTCTTCTTCTTCTTCGATGTAGTGGTAGCTCGGGCGGTCCACGAAGCGCACCCGTCTGGCCCGAGGGTCGGACGCTGGGCTACCCGCGCGGTGGGTCCGCTCCTTCGCTGGCACCTTTGCCTGCAAGGGCCGCCGCTGCACGCTCGTTGGCAGACTGCTTGGCCGCCCACCAATTGTCCCAGCCCACCATGAAGCAATCCGCGTGGACTCTAACCGTGGGGAAGGCGTGATGATGTAGCCGGGGCGATCCCAGATCCGAGCTTCACGCGAGTAAGTCGTGTCGCCGTCTCAGGTAACCACATAGCTGGAGTGTGCCGCAACGTCCTTGCCTACATGAAGGTCGACCTCAGGCCACACCCGCCCTCTGGCGAGCATAGCACGGTGGGCGCGGTGATCGTTCCATATGCTGTGCACTGGCACGCCCCCGTCATAGTAGTCATCCTGCGACACGGAGTTCCATGGTGGTCGTGCCGCCACCGAACGCTCAGCCCTCCAGCGTAGTGAACTTCGGCTAGCGATGGCGCGCAGAAGAAAAACGAAACATGACATGTCCCGCCATCGACTGATGATCATGCTGTGCGGGGGCTTGCGACCCCGCAGACACGAGAAACGACGCCAGAATCGCTGGAGCCAGGGCTTCCTTAGCGCGCTTCCCGTCATCCGCCAGGTCCCCGACCACTAGTGCGCAACGCGCGTTCCCCCCCCAGACCAGTCCCCAGTTGATAAAATCCATCTGAGCAACAAAACGTCCATCGCGCAACTCTTCGAATCTTAGCGCGCTTCCCGTCATCCGCCAACAAAAAATCCCGGTGCAATCCCGCTTCTCGCACCTCGAAGACCATTCCCGTCATCTGCCGACCCCCGCTTTCCGGGGGTGAGAAATCGTGTGAGACATTAGGCTGTTCCCCTCGGGCGAGCTCGCCAACGCACCCTCGGGGTCTCCGCCGAGAGGGCTCCAAGAGGCAAAAGCTGCCACAGTCCTTTCGGGAAACGCACACTCTTGTCATACTCACCTTTTTCGTCTTGGCAGCGACCGAAATGGTCCAAGGGGCCTCCAAGATCGTTCCAACCAGGCCCGTGAGGCCTCCAAGGGAACCCCAAGGCACCCCAAGAGGGCCCCAAGCATAGGAACCCAAAGGCCCAAGAGAGCCCCAAGAGGGCCCTAGGAGAGGCCCAAGGAGGGGGATACGAACTGACATGTCGAGCCTGCCTCCCCAACATGGCCACAAGAGCCTCTCCCCCCCCGACGCCCCCCGAGGCGCCCCCAAGAGGCCCAAACGAGGCCCCCCAGGGGTCCCCCAAAAGCCCCCAAGAGGCCCCCAGGAAGGCCCAAAAGGCCCCCAGATGCCCCCAAGAAGACCCCCAGAGGCCCCTGAGAGGCATACCGCGAACCCCTCAAATGCATCCAAGAAGTTCCTTACCCACGAGTTAATGTCCAAGATCATCGCAAACATTCGTTCCTTCCAGGGGGTCGGCAGAATGGCGCAAGCCACTCGGATAATGACGGCGGGAGGAGGAACGGGAGGACGAGGGGGGAGGAGGAGGAGGAGGAGGAGGAGGAGGAGGAGGAGGAGGAGGAGGAGGAGGAGGAGGAGGAGGGAGGAGGAGGAGGGGGAGGAGGAGGAGGAGGAGGGAGGAGGAGGAGGAGGAGGAGGAGGAGGAGGAGGAGGAGGAGGAGGGCGGGGAGGGGAAGAGGAGGGGCAGGAGGGAAGAGAGGAACATGAGGAGCAGGATGAAAAGCAGGAGTTGGAGGAAGAGGGCGCGGCGCCTCGTACTCCCCCTGCAGGGCTGCCTCCAGGACCTGCCTGAAGTCGGCCTCGCGGCCCTCCCCATAACACCTCGGAAGCGAAGGACAAGGAGGGAGGAAAACGACGACGAAAACGAGAGAGAGAGAGAGAATTACGAAAAGGAGGAAGAAGAGGAAAAGGAGAAGGAGGAGGAGGAGGAGGAGGAACAGGAAAAGGAGGAAGAGAAGGAGGCGGAAGGGGGAGGGGGAGGGGATCGGTGGGGAAGAGGAGGAGGAGGAGGAGGAGGAGGAGGAAGAGGAAAAAGATGAGGAGGATGAGGAAAGAGGAAGAGGAGAAGAAGAGAAGAGGAAGAGGATGATGATGATGATGATGATGAGGAGGAGGAGGAGGAGGAGGAGGAGAAGAAGGAGGAGGAGGAGGAGGAGGAGGAATGGGAGGGGGAGGAGGAGGGAGGAGGAGGAGGAGGAGGAGGAGGAGGAGGAGGAGGAGTAGGAGGAGGAGGAGGAAGACGGAAGAGGAGGGAGGAGAAGGAGGAGGAGGAGGAGGAGGAGGGAGGAGGAGGAGGAGGAGGAGGGGGGGAGGAGGAGGAGGAGGAGGAGGAGGAGGAGGAGGAGGGAGGAGGAGGAGAGGATGGGGAGGAGGAGGAGGAGGAGGAGGAGGAGGAGGAGGAAGGAGGAAGGAGGAAGAGAAGGAGGAGGAGGAGGAGAAAAAGGAGGAGGAGGAGGAGAAGGATAATGGGGAGGAGGAAGGGGGAGGAGGAGGAGGAGGAGGAGGAGGAGGAGGAGGAGGAGAACCAGGAGGATGAGGAGGAAGAGGACGAGGAGGAGGAGCAGCAGCAGCAACAAAAGCAGGAGGATGAGGAGAACGAGGAGAACGAGGAGGAGGAGGAGGCGGAGGAGGAGGAGGAGGAGGGAGCGAGCCACTGGCGGCGGACGGCGCCGCCCGCGGCTGCGCCCGCCGCGCGCGCCCGCGCTGGCGGGCCGCCTCAAGAGAGGCCCATGTAGTGGCCGAGCTGCAACGCCTTGCAAAGGATGGCCCGGTTCACGCGGCAACTCTCGTGCTTGCGGACCCGCGGGCAGCGGCCCCAGCCCCGTCATCCGCAGAGGGTCCCACTCGCGGTGGCATATGAATCAGAGCCGACCTCGAACCACACGCGGAAGCCGTCGCACGCGCGGACTCGCGGGCGAGGGCCCCAGCCCCGTCGACTGCCGAAGGGCCCACTCGCAGCGACTTACGAGACACGGCAGGCCGCTGCAGCCCGCCACCGTCCATGTCGTGGCCCTCAAACACCTGGTCGACACTGCGCCACGTGGAGCGGCCGCGTGGCTGCCCCTGGCTTGGGGGTAGGGCTGTAGGGTGCTCGGAGAGCTGCTCCTCACACCGCCAGGTCCAACGCGCCGCCCCTCCAGGCCGCCGCAGACCCGCCCGCGCTGCCCCACCAGCAAAAGCACGCCCTCCCAACCGCGCATCACAGGCGCACGAAGGGCCCGCGGGTACCACGGCGGCCATCTCTTCCAGGGTGTCGAAGGGCTCTTACTCAGGAGGTGGCGGGCCACGACTGCCCACAGCAGAGGGCGCGGGTTCCGCAGCTTCCGAAGGCGCACCACTCGCGGGGCGAGCGACGTCATCAAGCGCAGCATCTGCAAGCCCACCCTCCGAAGCCGTCAGCGCACCTTGCCATGGCACAGCACGCCTCGCCTGCACCGCGCCCTGGCCCTGGCTGCGAGCACCTGCGGCAGAGGGCGCGGGCCCCGCAGGTCCAGGAGGCGCGCCGCTCGGGGGAGCAGCGCCATTAATGGCTGCATCCGCAAGCCCACCCTATGGATCCGTCGAAGCACCTCGCCGAGGCGCCGTGCCAAGATACTCCCGTCGCGAAGGAGCTGACGGCCCGACCTGCCAACTGGGCAGCGCGCTTGAACGTGTCGAAGATCGTCTCTAACTCCTGTTGACGGCGTCCAGTAGGTCGCCGCTTCCCTCCGGCTCGGCCTCGTGGCGCCTGATGAAGAAGGCCGCGCGCCGACCCGCACTCTGCCTCCATGCACTGGCGCACGGGTCCGCCAGCATCGATGCCAGCAATCGCCTGGGGAACCAGCTCAGGAGCATGGCCAGCAGCGGGCGGTTCCTTTCCTGGTGCAGCATGGCCCCAAGAAGGCCTAGCACTGCTCCTGCCGCTTTGCCCCGTCGGAGATCTGGACCAGGTCGCCCGCGAACCACTGGGCCACCCAATCCCGCAAGTCGCGCCTCGTGTCCAGGTAGACACGCCTCGCCTGCCCCGCTCCGGCACCGCGGGCGGCGGAAGTCCAGTGGCGGCAGGGGCCTCGGCCGCGCCTTCGGCATAGGGCGTGGACGACGCAGGTCCAAGGTCTGGCCGCTGCCGTGGCACTGCGCACTGCGCACGCCACAACTTGCAACTCTTTCACGTGATCGGCGCCGCGAACGGGCTCGAGAACCACAAGGACGTGGGCCTTCAAATATCCTGCGCGATGCTTCTGATTGTAGCTCGGCAAAGGACGCCAGCACACTGCCCGTGCACTCGGAGGCTCTCTTGTTTCACCTACAGCGCGAGCACCAATCACCTCCTTTCGGCACACGTGCATCGCCCATGGGTTTGGGCGCTGGCGCTGCTTCCTTAGCCATCGGCGCCTTCTTGTTCGGATGGACAGCTCGATGCGCGGCGTCTGCCGCGTCGAGGGCTGCCCCCGCAGCTGACGTCCACAACGCGACTCCCTCCTCCAGCTGATGCACGTCACGAAGCTGGTCATGGCAGCGAGCAGGGATACGATCATAGCTTGCTGCACCCTCGGCGGGCCTGTCAGCCAGCCCATTTCCCAGCCAGTCGGGGTAGCTGATGGCGCCGCCCTCGATCAGCCTGGAGCGCCCGACGTATGCTGGCACTTTGCGCAGTGAGAGCCCCTGCTGCCCAATGCCTCCGAAGTCGCCAGCCAGCCTCCAGATATCGCGCCATTGATCTGCCCGCGCGAAACCTAACGGCGTCATCTGCTCGGGACCGTGCCCCAGCAGGCCCTCGACCTCGAATGAATAGCCGGTGGCCGCGACGAAGGGAGATCCGCACGGCGGAGCTGCAGCCAACGTGGCGAGCTCCCCCCCCATTGCTGTCAACGACAGCACCCCTGACAAACCGATGCGAATCTGCTCGTGGTCCTCATGCAGGGCGACGACCGCCATGCCCAACGCTCGCGCACCTCTCAAAGTCGCCCTCGTACGCGGACCCGTCCAGGTAGAGCCAGCCAGAGGAAGATGGCCTTCAACGCAATCGCCAATCCAACATAAGCCCGTCGGCCGCATCGGCGTCGGGATGCCCTGAGGCATGGGATTCGGGCCGCGCTCCAACAAGCAGCATATCTCATGCTCACTGCAGGCCCGCTGGGCCAAGCGCCTGATGGGCATGGGTAGGTGGAGCTCCGCGCTCCATCCATCACAATCGGTGAGCCGATGAAGCAGGGAGCCATCCCCGCCGCGCAAAAGACACTGCGAGCTCGTCGTGTACTCACACTCGTACTTGCGGACCTGTGGCCATTGTCCTCCTGATACCAGCGAAGCGATGTATCCTCTCTCCTTGGCGGTCAAGCGAATCGATCCGAATGCGGACGGCGACGAAGGGCGTCGAACAGGCCTTTGCGCAGCGGGCAGAGAGGTTCCCGACGCGGAGGGAAGCGTGGGGACAGGAAGATGACCATGAGCACCACCAGCAGGCCGCTCCTCACGATGGTCAGCACGAAAGCGAAAACTTCCCAGGCATCATCGACCTCGAACAGCTCATTCTCGGTCGCGACATCGGCGTTAGCTGCACCTCCATCGGCTGCTCCAACAACCTGGCCCAGGAGCTCATGCTGAACATATTACCACAATGCGCCAGCATCAGACCTCGCAGCCTGTAGGGAACCACCATTGACCGCTGTGGGCGAAAGGCAGGCCGGGCCTAGAGCCGAGGAAACCAGCCAAACATTCCCAACAGGCTGCGAGGACTCACGGGCAGGTTCGCCAGCCCCGTCACCGACCGAAGTACCCACTCGCGGTGACGCAGGCAGCTGGGCCGTGCCCGAACCACTCGCCTAAACCGACGCGCCCATGGACTATGGACTCGCGGGCGAGGGCCCCAGCCCCGCCAGCCGCCGAGGGACCCACTCCCAGAGGCCGACGCACCTGTAAAGTCGCGGGCAAGGGCCCGCGACCCGCCAGCCGTCGAGGGGCCCACTCGAGGTGGCATCAGAACTTGGGCCGCGCCAGAACCACCCGTGGAGATCGACGCAACTGCGGATTCGCGGGCAAAGGCCCCGGCCCCGTCAGCCGCGGAGGGCCCCACTCGCGGTGACATATGGAGACGGGCCGTGCCTGGCCCACTCGAAGAAGCCGAGGCACCAGTGGACTCGCGGGCGAGGGCCCCAACCACGTCATTCGCCGAGGGGCCCACTCGAGATGGCATGCCAGACAGGGCCGCATTCGAACCGCGCGTGGAAGCCGACGCACCTGCACTTGTCACCACTTGCTTGCCATCGAGTCCCTTGCGCTCGGCCGCTCCAGCGCTGAGACGAACGACTGGCTCTAGAACTCCTCCAATAGCCAAATGACGCAGCTCAAAGTACCTGTCCAACTGAACCCACTGCCACGCTTCGACAGCTCACCAAAGGAGACGCTTGCAAGCGGCAGCCACTGACCGGCCAACGCGCACGAGAGCCACCTCCACCGCCGAAAAGAAGCCTTGCACCTGGGCCCAGCTGCAGGTAGGACTGCGCAGCAAGCTATAGCCAATGACATGCTGCAGGACCCATCCCTCCCAGGCTGCCCTGAGCATCACCATGACAGGCTGCAGCGTGGCACTGTGCACCAGGTCTAGGAAAGGACATTCGCGAACGACCAGGAGCGGAGAATGCAACGGCAAAAAAGGCAAGGGCGCCAAGGCGCTCGAGCTCACCGCGCGGAGCAACCAGTGACACCAAACCCATAGCTGACTAATGGCTCAACGCCTCCCCTCGCAACCTTTCGCGCGCCTTTTCTTTTGCCCGGATCCACGCTGGCGAAGGAAGACGCGTCTCGTGCGAAGCTCGGCCGCCGCCGGCCTATCGCGTCGCACCTGCCGGACGATGCGTTTGCCACATGCGTAATCAACTCCCAGGTTCCGCTTAAACTTGGACGCGCGTGCGCCCACCGCCTTCAGCTCCAGCAATTTAAGTGCCGAGCACGCGGAACGTTGGAGAGCACCTTGGACTTTGACTCGGCAATGGCGAAGCCCCCCTCAACCGGCAGCGTGAAGGCGCAACACTGCATCAGCCACCTCTTGAGCAGCACGAACCAAGCCTCCAACGCGAGGGACCATCATGTCATCAACAACGACGGCTAGCTGCACGGCGTGGCCGTGCGCCACATGCGTGCCCAGCGGCTCTGACAAAATCAGCTCCAACATCGCCGTCGCAGACCCATATCACGGAAGGGCCCGCTGCATGGCAACAACCTCGTCGGAAGCGGCGAAACCCCGCGTGAGGATGCGCGGGGCTGCGTGTAGCTCGATATGCAACTTCAGCTGCCAGATGAGAAGGCCAGACTCCTGCGCCGCCTTCAGCTGCCAGCAGTGCCTCACCTGCTCGAGGGTCTTGAGCAGGTCCAGCAGCACCGCGACTGCAGTCCAGCCTTGCTCATCGCCATGCTCACGCCCTTTCAGCGTAGCCCACTCACCCCAAGCAGCCTGATGCCGCGCAGCACGTTCACAACTGCGGCCGCGCGATGCCAGCCAGCGTCCGCTTTCGTTGCGCGCATTCCCAATCGACGGCGACCGACCTACGCAACCTGGTTTGGACGCGCGCCACGGACACGATGAGTGCGACGGGGCGGGCGCCGCCCAGCCTCCTCTGGGCGAAACGCATCTCTGCAGCCATGCGAGACCGCGCAGCGCGCCTCGCGATCTCGCCAATCGTCGGCAAGAGCCTGCAAGCCTTCATCGCACAGCTCAAGATACTGCCTTGGTCCGACCGCGTCGAATGGCATGCCCGTCGCGACGGGAAAAGTGGCCAACGCCCGCTTGAGCTAGTCCACCGTGGACCTCCCGGGGAGCCCCCCAATGTCGTTCGCCCAGCGAAGCTGCACCTGCAATAAAAGGGTACGCCACCACCTGCTCCACTCAGCTTCCAGCCTAGTCACTTCCCCAGGCAGGCCCACTGGCGCGCGCGGCTGCCGCTCGTCCAAGCTGCGCGGGCGATCTGCATCAACAACTCTGGCAACCGCGGGGCTCGGCTCGAACCCGACAGGCACCTTCGACAGCGCATGCATACCTCCCCCTCCGAAAAAAAGGAGACTGTTTCAAGACCCACTCGTTGAACTTGGCGCCTCTCGCGCACATGTCGTGATCGGCCGTCCTGGCGGCTTGCCAGTGGGCCTTCTCGCAAAGCTCCGCGAGCGGCTCGAGGTCCAGCACGGGGAGGCGCGAGCAGTTGAGCGGCTGGCGGCAGGCACGTCGGCAGGAAGATCGCAGCACAAGTGCGCGGCCACCCCGCCAGGGGCCTTCGCCAGCTTTGGGGCCTTCGCCAACTGCCTGCCGAGGCCCCGCAGGGCGCGAATACGGGCGAGCAGATGCTGCGCGCGCGGCAACGCGCGACTGATTCGCAACTCGAAACAGCCAAATCGCCTCTGCAGGCACCCGCGGCCAACGAGCCTCAAATACCGCAACGTGGTTGAATCATTTGCTACGCGCGGGCTTAGCGCGCCCAACGTGCTCCTAAGCACCCCCCTCGACCTGGTAGACATCAGCCCACCCCACCTCCGCAGCCTGGGCGAGCAGCTGTCGCGCCAATACCACCTGCTGCTGAGGCCCGTCGAACAGAGCCTGCAGGCGGCTAGCCAGCTGGGCCCAACCGCTGCCGCGGCCAAGCCGAGCACAGCCATGAGGTCGCACTCGAGGGAAAGCCCTGGGCACCTCAACCACGCGAATATTGGGCTTCTCTTTCGGGGGATGACGGGCTGATGCGGCCAGGCTGGCGGCCCAGGCACCGCGCTGATCGACTGGACCTCGAGCCCCGCCGACGCGATGCAGAAATCCATCGCCCTACCCGATTGGGCGCACGCGGCATCCAGGGTGCCCACGAACAGGCCCCGAAAGAAACGCATCGCACCACAAGCCTCAACCTCAACAGGATCGCGGTTGAAGTCGCCTCCGACGACGTACGGACTGCCATACTCACGCACCATCGTGGCAATCGGCTTCAGGGTATTGTAGCTGGCCAGATTCATCCCGACCCCACACTGCAGGTAGACATTGACCACCACGATACCCCGAGTGGACCCGCGGCAGCACCCAACTCAATACCTCCAAGGTTGTCCGCCACCGCTTCCGCCAGGTCACGATGCTGCTGGAGCAGTCGACCATAACTGGGGAGTGGAGGATCCGACGCGGCCGCCACCTGCTTGGACACCACATCCTTAGCCATGGCCACTGCAGCCTGCAACTCCTTCTCCATCTTCCCGACGTGCGGCTCACGCTGAAACGCGGCAGTGCTAGCCTCCGCCGCCAACGTTTCCTTCCGCTGGTACTCAACATTCGCCTTCTCGGGCCTTCGCGGCGCCCCGTGCACGTCGAGCTGCGCCGACTTGACGGATCTGACCTTGGAGAAGGCGCCCAGCTCCGTCTGCACCAGGGACCTGACCTGCGTGAGCTGCTGCCGCTCCGTTCCAAGCAGACTTCTGGCGAAGATGCCGAAGGACAGGCCACCAAGCTGCATGTAGCACTGCCGTTGAACACCTGTGAGCGGTGCAGGTATTTGCTCCCCTTGCCCTTGAGTTCTGCTTCCACCGCCCTGGGGACTGCCGCCACCACACCCTTGACCTTGACGTCTTGCGCTGCCGCGCGGTGCCACAGCCCAGGTCGTCCAAGGAGCCCGAATCCAGGGGGGCGCTTCCCGTGGTCACTCTGCCAACGCCCGCGAACAGGAGCAGGAGGTGAACCACCATGACCATATGTACAAGGACGGTCGGCACCGCAATTCGCCTGCCTGCACTGCGCCCGCCATCCGAGGTTCTTGTAATTGCACGAGTGGCAACACCAGCTGCCAACCAACGCCACGCCAGAGCCAGAACCGCCGCCGCCGACACCACGCTCCTGAGACATGATGCGCGCCGACCCGCGGAGAGCTCACAAAACTGTAGAAAGCTAGGCCTCAAAGCGCGACCGCCCTCGCGCTCAGAAGACGGCCCGACCAAAGACTCGCGGTCGTCGGGTCGGGTCACGGCCTTGAGCCAAAATGGCTACTAAGGAGGAGGAGGAGGAGGATCAGGAGGAGGAGGAGCAGGAGGAAGAGGGAGGAGGAGAGGGAGGAGGAGGAGGAGAATAGGGAGGAGGAGGAGGAGGAGGAGGGAAAGGAGGAGGAGGAGGAGGAGGAGGAGAGGAGGGGAGGAGAAGGAGGGGGAGGAGGAGCAGGAGGAGGAGGAGGAGCAGGAGGAGGAGGAGGAGGAGGAGAAGGACGAGGCCGAGGAGTAGGAGGAGGAGGAAGGGAGGAGGAGGAGGAGGAGGAGGACGCCGAGGAGGATCAGGAGGAGGAGGAGGACGACGACGACGACGAGGAGAAGAAAAAGGAGGAGGGGAGGAGGACGAGGGGGAGGGTGAGGGGTAGGAGGAATACTAATCAGAAAAAAGAGGAAGATGTAGAGGAGGAGGAGGAGGAGGAGGAGGAGGAGGCAGTGAGCGAGGAGGCAGGTAGCGAGGAGGAGTGAGGGGGAGATAGTGGGGGGCGGTTCGGGGAGGGGAGGGGGGCCCTCACCCCCTCTTCCCTCCCGCACCGGGAGGGGGGGGGCGCAAGGTCCCTTCTCGACCCTTCGGCACACCCGCGGTTGGCTGTGGCCCGTAGGCCGTCAGGGGCGGTGGGAACAGTCACGGGGCGGTCACACCGTCACCCTGGCGGGCCCCACGGAACAAGAAGCCCAACGAAGATGTCCTCCCTCCTTCAATCCCCCCTCCCTCCCATCCTCCCTCCCTCCCTCCCGCCCTCCCGCCCTCCCCCGTCCTTCCATCCCTCCATCCCCCCCGCATGCCCCCCGCATGCCCCCCCTCCCTCCCCCCCCCCCATCCCAGGATGCCCGCTCATACCCACAGGGCGCGCCTGCCTCCAGGGGCCCTCATGCGATCTCGTGCCTGCAAGTGGGCCGCCGCGCGGCCCCAGCGGCGCTTGCACCGCACCCAGCGGCCGGAGGCCTCCAAGGGCCTCCCAGTGCCTCGCGCAGCGCGCGCGCGGGACGGCCGCCGCTGAGCGCGGCGCAGGAGGGCCTGCCGCCGCCACTCGGCCGCCGACGCGGACTCTGCGTGAAGCCTCGCCAC